TGCGCTGAGGGGGCTCAACCACATGTCCCAGCTGAGGACATTGAGTTATGAGAAAGTCTGCAGAGCCACACGAGATGAGAGAGGTGAAATTACTGACAAATCAATTACTGTTGATTCGGGTTCAGTTACTAGCTCAAGGACTCAATGGGGAAAACAGCAACATGGAGAGGAAGGTCTTAAAGGGAGAAAGAAGGACTTTGCTTTGTGGAAGCTTGGAGCTTCCCCTGGACAGCCAAGATAACACCAGCATCCCAGGTCCTCTGACATGTCTCTGAAACCCTTACAAGCATCATCTGGTGCCACAGGTCACTAACTCCAGCAGGGCTGACTTCAGGGATGTCTGGATCAATAGACAGGCAGCAAGAATGCTGCAGAAATAGAGCTGTTTCGCAGAGTTTTACTATGATTAGTAATAGCTGGTGTGGGTGTGAGTGATTAGTCAAATCATGTTGTATCTGAAGGTTTGAAGTGTGTAAGAACCTGGTGTAAAACCAGGTTCGAGGTGCCCCAGTTTGGCTTGGACCCCCCCATGCACATGAATAAATACTTACCCTTGTAATTGTATACTTTGCATCCCAGGCCTTCTTGGTCCACATGGGCCTGCTAAGAATCTCAGCAGCTCCATCCGCAAGCGTTGAGGCAGAGAAATAGGCTTTGCTGGAGAAGAAGTTTAGTGTTAATAACCCATGTGTAAGCACAGAGTAAAATGCAGCATGTATTAGATACTAGTATGCTTTACATGTGTGAATGTGAACCTTGCTACCCTACCTGGAAATAGGAGCTGAGTGGAGAGGAAATGAAATTCTCTTTCTTTGATGGTACACCATTAAAAGCTTTTTACATCCTTCTACAACTAACACTGAGGTGACCCGAGTTAGCACTGTCTGTCCGTTCTCTCATGGGAAAAGGGTAGCTCACCACGATAACAAGTTGTTTCTCCCTGTGAGCTCCCCAGAGCACACGGGCACTGACTGGCCAGCAGCCTGGCAGGCTATGGGCAGATGTTTCAAATATAGTTTTTGCATAAATGGTTCAGATATAGGCTGTCTCATCCCCTTTATGCTTGTCACCAAGGATGGTTCAGCTGCCAGCCCCTGCAGCAGCAGTGCGTGGTCCCTGGGTAAGCTGTGGCATCCCCCAGCTCTCTGCCTGCTCCCAGCCTCTCCTGCTTCCCCCTCTCATCTGCACTCAGATATCCTCTGCCACTTGGAAGTGTTCAGTACGAGACTGGACAGAGCTTGGAGCAACCTGCTCTAGTGGAAGGTGTCCCTGCCCGTGGCAGGGGTTGGAACTGAAGGAGCTTTAAGGTCCTTTCCTGCACAAACCATTCAGTGATCCTATGATGAAGCTGCCAGGATTTCCCAGCTCACATCTCTTTATGCAGCATATACTGACCTCACAAAGAGAAGTTATTAAAAAGAAGAAAGAATGAGAAGACCTTACCTTGGCTGACAGGTGCTCGGTCAGTTTTTGCATGGGCTTTCAATGCAAAAGAAAAGAAAAAAGGCAAAATAACTGAGACTGAATGAGGGAAACATGCTTTTATGTAATCAATTAATATACTTTGTAGTCAGCTGAATGCATTAAGACTAGGAAATGCTAGCAGCATTACTACTAATAGCTAGTAGTTCTGAGGAATAGAGTTGTCATGGACAAAGGACTCTTACTAAGAAAAGTGTAGAGGCTTGACTACTATAGGGGACATATTACTAGCATTAAGGGGAGCAAGATTTAATACCACTTATTCCTTCGTGTAAGCAGATAGTCCCATGCTCAAATGCTTTGCATCTGAAGTTCAGTTTCCTGCATGTTGTCCACACAATTACATGTATTTTACTGAACGCCCTTTGCAAATGTGTAGCTGGCAGGGCCAGACTCTAAAAGAAAACCTTCACCTGCTATATAAGTAACTGAATCAGAACATTTTCAATTAATGAGCAGAACTTGCAATTCAGATATTTCAAAAGGTAAATCTCATTGTACAAAAATAAGTTTCAAAGCAAATAGCACTGAGTATGTCAGAAGGATTCCCACTGACTCCACTTCCTGTGGGGATGCAACTTTGAAAGAGCAGGGAGGGTGACTTTGTAGGAGTGTGATGATCTAGAACAACTCTCAATTTATATTGGCGTAGCGTGTCTGCCCCAGCAGTTTTGCCTTCCCTAGGCCTTTCATCATTGCAGGCATTTCTCTCATATCAATACCAAGAGCGTTTTCCATCCCTTGATTCGTATGGAAGCCAAAGGAATTATCCCGAAAGTTAAATACCAGATCCATGAGATTATGCACACAGTGAAGACAGGGAGCCATACCCACATCATCAGATCGACACTTTGACAAGGGAACTAAGGATGTAAACTGGAGTAATGCTGCATTACTTACAAGTAGTAATGACCGCTGCTCCAGAATCTAGGGAGACCGATGGGTTGGGTGAGTGTGTTACTGTGAGAGGAGAAATAGGAAATTAAACACTGGCCATGTTTTGAATGCACTGATGGCTCGCATAAAAACCAATGAACTGCTCACTCCAGTCCAAGAAATGACCAGAAATAGATACCTGGTTTTTCAGTTGTCGTGGCCTTGATCAGGACTGTCAAAGAGAAAGTAAAAGCCACACTTCAGTGACTGTTCCACTGTTGTGTGAGCAAAGCAAAGGCTGTTCATGGGGAGGGAATGAGTCGTTTACTGCCGGGATCAAGCACTAGAATGATTCTACTAAAGGTAAACCCATACGTACCTTCTGCTTCAGGTGTGGTGTCTTTTGCAGGAGCTGATGGGAGCCAGGGGAGAAAACAAAGCTGCAGGTTAGCTGTTTGGAAAGGCACAAGGTCCCCAAACCGCAGGAGACCCGCAGGTCTCATCTGAGTGCTGATCAGCCACAGCACTGGAAGTGCTGCTGCTTCCCAGGGCAGGCGTGAGCAAAGTCTGCCCAGAGCATGAGCAGCCTCAAAGGGAGGAAAACGCATCCCCATGGTGGCTAATTTTGCCAGGGCCTGCGACAGCCTCTGACCTGCCACGTGAAGGGCTCTGGAACCCTGGGGATGGTTGATAAGCAACAGTTTGGGTGCTGGAGGATAAAGTGAGATAAAGTTTTATTTCCCACTGACAGTTGCAAGGTCTTTGCTATTGCCTTGTTGGGCATTGAACCTGAATGTTCCTGTGGGAAACACAGCCTGGTCTGTGCAGTGATTGGGATGCAGCTTTGGGAAGTGCAGGAAGGCTTTCTTGGAGTGGGATTGTTGAGTGCAAATCTCAATTTGTAGTGGTGTAGTGTGTCTGCCTCAGCAGTTTCCCCTTTCCTAGTGCTTTCATCAGTGCAAGGATTTTTCCTGTTCTGATACCAAGCCCCTTTCCCTCCTTTTACTGTGTATTAAAGCCAAGGGAGAGCAATTGGGATTATCCCTGAAGCTAATGGTTAAATCCATGAGATTATACACACAGTGCAGATAGGGAACCAGTCAATACATGAACAGAATTTAGGCGGATTATCCCTGAAGCTAATGGTTAAATCCATGGGATTATACACACAGTGCAATAGGGAACCAGTCAATACATGAATAGAATTTAGGCAGACAACTAAGCATGTAAGTCGGAGTAATGCTGTATTACTTACAAGTGTTAACATCTGGCTCGGGAGTAGGCGAGGCTGTTGCTGTGAGAAAGAAAAGATGAAATGAAATGTTGTCCACATTTGAAATGTATATTTTTGCCCTGAGACCCATAGCAGCAGCCTCCTCTGCTTGCAATATCACACGAAGCCATGTGAGTAAGTGGGAAGCCCTTGTCTGAACATAGCGTGAGTATCACTGTGTATGGCTGTGAAAACTCTGCAGCAAAGCCCAGAGCTTGCACAGGGAAATGGATAATGCAGCTGAACAGGGAAGAGCTCTGGCATCCAGCGTTGCCTCACCAGGAAGGCAGCAGTCCACTAAATCCTGAATTGAGAGTCAAAATGTGAGTGCCTGACAGAGAATTCCCCAACTCAGCCTAGGGAGCACTGTTTTGAGCTGGGGATCCTGCTGTCCTTCATGGTCTGACAGTCCCTCTGCTCACCACATCTCTCAAAGTGACCAGAGATAAATACCTGGTGTTTCATCTGTTGTGGTCTGGGGCAGGGCTGTCAAAGAGAAAATAAAAGCCACACGTTAGTAATTCTTCCAATACTGAGCAAGCAAAGCGTAGGTGGACAAAGCAAAGCAACGTTATCATTCAGGTGTAATTAGGCCTGGTAAAACAGGACCCCAAATCCAACTGCTTTACAGCAGTTTACCCCATCACTTGGCATTTGTGTAAACCAGCCTGTGGTATTTCCACTGCTCGTGAGGGTGGGTGGAAACCAGGTGTATGTTGTGTGTATCTCCACAGAGGCAAAAGCTCTGTTTGGCAGGACACCTCTGTCCACACATCCCACCAGGATTTCATTTTCACCTGAGCACCTTGAATTCTAATGATGAGATAAGGCCTCTCTCACATCCAAGAGAGCATGAATTTTGGCTTGGTGCTGATAAAATTCAGGGGAATCAGCACTCTGCTGCAGGGTAACTTGTGTTTGACTATACATGAGGTTTCCACCATGTCATTTTCACTGCCACCCCAAGCAATGAATACCTCTGTCAGGCTGAGAAGCAAAGCTGGTGGGAACAGGCATCATTTCTGTCCTGCCTCCTCACCCAGGCTGAAATCCAAGACAAAATGGTGTTTGCAGTGAAGTAGCTCCATCACTGCAAGACCTGCCAGAGCCTGTGACATGAGCCACCCAGAACTGCTTCTTAAATTAAACAAACTACATTCATCTTGGGAAGGTCAGTTGGGAAACAAACATTTGGGTTTGTAAATCACTAAAATATTTAAGCAAATATGGCTCATGCTGCAATGCAGCCTCTTGATATATTGGAGGAGAAATAGCCTGCGGCGTGTGGACCTTCATACCAGTGCTTAAGTTACTATATGAAGTATATCAACTGTGAAATCTTTGCAAGACCCATCTAGGGAGAACTCACCAGTTCCCACTGAGTCACATATGTGAACATCTGTCAGTGTAGATGAGCCTGTAGAAGACAAGCAGCGTTAAAAAAGGTAACGAGAGGAATTATCTGTTGCCTTGGAAATTGTCTATCGTGTTATGTAGCATCGTGGACTAACAGATGGTGTGGGTGTTCAACAGAGAGCTCCTCAGCCCTTGCACCGAAACTGGAAGGATACAGAGAGAACGGCAGAAAGAAAGGCACGATCTGAGCTCTCTAGGGAGGGTATGATGGGAGTCCAAAACAATCTTTACAAAATGACTAAACGTCAAAACCCAGCAAGCTGAAATTGAGTAAAGACAGGTGGAATGGGCTGTTCATTGGAAAGAGAAAAGCCAATGCACAAAGGCAAAATTATCCTTTCAGCTGGCACAGAAGGACTACGGACAACTGGAGGTTGGTAATGTTAACACTCCAGTGAGCCAGTCCAGTCTCAGCCTTGCTCTTAGAGTCATACGTGGGACCTACTTAACTTTGCTTGGTGCTACAGACCTCAGATGCTCAGTCAGTGATTGCACATTTAGGAAAGATAAAGACAATGGGGAGAGCTTTGAAGGATGAATCAAGATTATCATGAGCTCTGAGGAAAGATTTGAAGATCTGAGTTTAGTCCATGTGGGAAGTGTCTTTCACTGTTCCTTTGCCTCTGGAGTCCACAGAGAGCTAAAAGAACAGTGGTAGGCACTACAGAAAACATCCATCAATAAAGAACTTTGGAGATAGTGTCCAACACATTTTTTTGTGTGCTGAAAACATCAGTCAAGTTCAGAGGCAAAGTACACGTAGTTGTCTCCCCTGCTGCATATTTGCATGGGAGTTTGTAGCCTATGGTGCTATTGATTTTAGCCTCATTAGAAGAGGAGGTAGGACAGCGTGTCATGGATAGGAAGGTCCTGGCTCAGCTGATGGCTGATGCAAAATCACCTGTCTGGTGAAATACTGGGTTTAAGATTCTTTTTAATACATAAGAAATTATTTCCTACATTCATTAAAACAGCTCATTCATTAAAAACTTGCAATGCATATTACAAAATAGGTGCCCCAACAAAGAGAATGGGGACATGAGTACACACATTGCAGCACAATCAGCACTGAAGAAGGGCTGGACTCAAGCTCTGTATCAGTTAATCTTCCCTCTCCAATGGGGACCACTAAGAGGGGCTGAGGAGGAGAATATGAATGGGACAAGCATATGAGGAATGCCCAGGATTGTCTCCTAGCCAGCTATCTGGGACCTTCTGAGCCCCAAATGGTGCCTTGCATGGTACATCACAGGACAGAGAAATCTTTGCTCCTGAAGAACACAAGGCACACAGGTTGTATCTAACTGTTCCTTACCTTCACTCAGTGTAGACGGCAATGCTGGAGTTGTAAATGAGTCAGTGCTGTCTATGACTGCGTCAGACACAGGCAAGTTGTCTGTGACAAAATTATCTGTTGAAGCTTTGAGGGGGAAAAAAGGAAGAATGAGCAATAATGACCAAACATGAACATGAACCAGGATTAAGTTTTTGGTTAAAATTATCTGGAATTGTCATTTGGCTAGAAAAATGTGAAAATACAGGAAGCTTTGTTTCAGAGAACAAACACAGACTTATCCCTTGCACCTGACTACCTTGTACCTTGTTACCTTGTACCTGAGTCTCTATCATGAGACCATGATAGATGACCATGATACCATGATAAATAAATATTAAAAATTGGGCTTTTTAAGCTTCTTGGCTACTGGAGAATGAAGCAACATGTTCTTAGTCCTCTTTATTAAAACTTCACTGCATATATTTTCCATACAGTATGGCTTTCCCTTAGTTCACTTAGCCACAATTACTTTTGCAGCTTTAAGTTTGTAAGCTGTGCTTAGGATTCCTGGTGTAGATAATGCCTCAGTTTCTTTATTTACAGAAGTGGATGTGAAGGAGGAGCACAGGGATGATGAAGTGGTTGTGGAAGAGTTGAGGAAATATGCTACTGGAGAAAAATATCAATCAGGAGCTGATGGTTGTTGATACGATTTTGATTATGTCCTTGAAGGAAAAGTGAATTGGATTGTAGCCTCTGAGATCTGGTAATCTAAGTCAATACTGCAAGTAAATAATTACTCAGGTTAGGTGCTATTTTGTTAATATTGACAATAAGGACCTGGGCAGCACGTCTGGGGCAAGCATTCAAGTGAACTTCCTGCTGGTACTCTCCATAGGCAGCTCCACAAAACAACTACAGCATGGTGTACTTTACACTCTCCCATGATTAAGTCCTTGGTGAGAGTCCAACAGGGATGAGTGGGAGAAGCAGCTTCTGTACTGTGTCAGGTGCTGGCATCTGCATCTTCCAGATTTGGAAAGAATCATCAAAGATGATTGAATCTTCAAAGTGAAGATGCCCCAGTCTGACTAAATCATGGATGCTCTCCACTTCCCAGACCAAAGCACTAATATTTGGGCACTTTTGCTGATAACTAGATTATATAAATAGCCCAAGCAGCTTAAAGCTTCAAATTGTTCATAATTACCTATCTCCCAAACTTTGACAGCCCACATTTACAGATGAAGGGTTTAGAACTTGGCTTCACTGAGATAATAGTTAGCAATTGACTGCACTTTATACAGTTATTGTTTTACCACTGTAATCTATTTTAAACAAACTTAAACACTGTTACTATTAGATTTTACGGTACACATCTGCTCTTACATTCAGCAGCTGTGGAAAGGATTTCTGGAGCTGAGGTACTACCATCTTCTGTAAGTGGGGTGGATGAAATGTGTAATTCCTCAGCATCTTCAGAGGCTGTGGGAAGAAGGAAGAAACATGGAAACAAGATGGAAACAACATTCAGGGAAGGCTGAATTACTGAAATCAGCTCTTGATGAGTTTAATTGCCTTCAGGCTTTCTGGAAGAGGCAACCTGTGTGTTAGTTGTCTTCTACATCCACTGACAGGGCTCAGAAGTAGTTCTTCGTGTTTCTGCTTTGCATTACAAGTATCAATAAAGATTCAGGCTTCTTTCACCAAGAGTGAGAAAAGCAAAAGGAGTGTGAGAAGCAAAAATAGAAATGAGAGTTTTAACTTGGCAGTAACATTTATTAACATCTAGTTTCCCAACACTGCATGTTTTGTCAACTTGATTAAGAAAGTGAAATAACAAAGGGCATTCTGGGTCTACAGAGGGAAATGTTTATTATGGCTACTCCTGGTTTATCCGACTGAAAGTCTTTCTCCCAGAGGTACAGTAGTCACTGGAGAAAGGAGGGAGAGAACATCAGGACCGACACTTGAAATGGAGCGTCTGTAGTTCCTGCAATTCTCTGCTGCATCTCCTTGCCCTATAGAGCATCACCATTATCAGGTGGGAGCTGTGCTGAGGAGAGGAGGGAGGCTGCAGGGAGAACTGCTCTCTTATTCCAGCTTGCAAGGCTGAGCCTGCAGCATCCCAGGCCACAGGCTGGGAGAGGCTGAATCTGAGCTGAGATCCTTAAGAGGATACGGGACCTGCTATTCATCCTGGATCGGCTTAATAAGAGAGCCCAAGCCTGGGTAGATTGCTTAGAATCCAGATAGATAATGTTACAAATAGTGAGAAACACAGACTGGATGGCTTTTTCCTGAGTCATGCTTCTAAGGACATAAAAATAATGATTTCCTTCAGATCCTGTGGTTCAAATTCTGCACCATTCAGCTTCCCTCGAAGCAGGCTTTGCCTATAGTATTCACAGCTCTTGACTGCAGTGGTGGTAGCAGTGCTAGTGGTAGCCTGCCAACGCTGCAGAAAGCCAGCGGGTTGGTACCAAGCAGATGAAGTTCATACACAACCCCCAGCTGCACTGAGAAAACAGTGATCTTGCAATATTTCTTGACATTTCCACCATTGTCCCCTCCTAAACAAAACTTATAACCACAGTTTCCTACCATGCTGCATGTTGTGCAAATGCCCATTACCTGCGTGCGGTGTAGTCGGGACTTCTGGTGTCTTGCTTTCCTCTGCGATGTTGGTGGGAGCAAGGGAGGAGGCAGTAAGGAAGAGAAATTAAATGGTTACAAGTAGCAATTAAAAGCAAAAGTGTGATTTGAGGGGCTTGTGGCTTGCTTGAAGGTCTAAGGCTTGATAAACCCTCCTGCTATCCGTCTGCTAAATAACTGCAGAGGCAGAGGCCCAGCTAAGGGAGATGAGCACAAATGCCTGGCTGTGCTCCTTAACGTTTATGGAATTTTAATGAATCTTTGCACATGAAATCACAATGATCTGGACACTTGCTTTACGAAACTGTAAGTGCAGTATTTATAGCTACAAGCTCAGAATTATTAACTATTAAATGCATATATTACTGATATGTCCTGACAGCCTGATATTTTTCAAGTGAAAATGTAAGGGCGTTGTTCCTTCACCGAGATGTTTCATTTGTATTTATCTGCTATGAATATTTTGCAGATTTACATTGTCACATCTTAATTCAGCTGAAAAACCCTAATTAACAGAATAGTTCTTTCAAATAACACTTGCAAAATGACTCTTCTTACCTTTATCAGCAGTGGTTGCGATTTCAGGAGCTGATGTGGCAATTTCCTCTTTGACAGTAGTGGGCACTGAAGACATAACCAAGGCCCAGAGAAAGTTGAGGAAATACAAAAAGGAGAGATTGGCAGTGATTAGTAGTGAACCTGTGTGCTGAAATCTCGATCAAAGTAAGTAGATTTGGGGTTTGCAGGGCAGTGAGTGTAGAATCGTAGAATCCCAGACTGGTTTGTGTTGGAAGAACCTTAAAGCTGATCCAACTCCAACCCCCTGCCCCGGGCAGGGACACCTTCCACAGAACAGGTTGCTCCAAGCCCCTGTGTCCAACGTGGCCTTGAACACTGCCAACATGGAGCATTCACAACTTCCTTGGGCAACCTGTTCCAGTGCCTCACCACCCTCACGCTAAAGCACTTCTTCCTCATATCTAACCTAGATCTCCCCCGTTGAAGTTTGAAGCCATTACCCCTTGTCCTATCAATCACGCAGTCAATGCATAGCCTTTTATTTTTACTGAAAAAAGACTTTCACCTTCATTTAATATTTAATAATGAAGGTAGTTGATGCCTGTGTTATTTCTGACTGCATTCTGTTACTGCTAGAGGTGCAATAGCCATTTGGAAAAGTGCAAAGTGGCCATTCTTAGGAGAAATAAAGAATGAGGCTTGTGTTGTGCTTTGGAAGGGACTTTCAACATGGTAGTGTACCCCACCTTCCTCAAGGGTTGTCCAGATCCCTGGAGCAGATGGTGTCTCAGTGCTTGCTGGGCTTGAGGTGGGCGCAGGGGTGGGATCTGCAAAAGCGGCAAGGAGGCAGGGAAACATTACTAAACAGAATCACTGCCACATGAAAGAAAAGGCATTCCAAGGATCTGTGAAATCACTGATATTTCAGGCTTCAAGGAAGACAAAGTCAGCTCCCTGGGCTTTAACTTTCCATAAAGTGGCTCAGAAGAATGTCTTCCAAGTAGTAATTCTAAGTGAATTTGGAAGACTAATGCAACCAGTGCACCTTTCAGCAGGGTATAAACACACTTTATTTCCATTCTGCCTTTGCACTAAATAAAGAACTTGGAAAAAGTAAGCAAGATTAATAAAAGACTTGAAGGTGAAGAAAATATCCAGGGAAGAGTGCCTCACATGAGCTAATTGTAAAGCTCTCACCATGCTACATGCAGTCGTGATAACTGTATATGCAGGTAGGCTTAATCACATATCCATTTTCCCTCCTCATTTTCCTATGAAAATGAAGATGGCTTTGGTTATTGGCTTTTCTAAGTCTAATTACCTACAGAGTTATTAAACATTTTTACTCAATTCCCAGTGTTCCTCCTGTGTGCTCTAAACAAATTACATATATTGCTCACAATTTCCTCACATTATATTTGCAGTTTACTTTTTACCCTTGTCTTTGCCAGCACAAATCAGGGGGTCTGTAGTAGATGTCACAACAGTTCTGTCTGTGGAAAGTGCTGATGTAGAAATGGATGTTTGGGGCTTCTCTGAGGGTGTTGGAAATTATGGGAAATAAATGATTAGAGAACTCTAAGAATGATCATGGGAACTGAAACACCAGTGAAATAATTTAAACATCAGGTGTTGGGCTGTGTCCTCAGTACCTAGGGCTTACTGGAGAATGGCTGTAGTGCACAAAGCAGTACAGGGCAGGGAGCTGAACAGCAGAGCCCAAATCAGTGCGGTTAATTCAGCCCTGTTCACATGGCTTTGCAGTGTACAGGATCTTACCTGTCATGGTAAGTTATTGTTGGCTGTGCTGGTGAGATAACCAACTCACCCAGAGCTCAGTATATTCTCACTCAGGAGCACATCTCATCCTCTTACCTTTGCGGTGAAATAGGCCTTTTAACCATTCGTCTAATTTCTTCCATATTGAATTTAGATCTCTAGTTCCTGAGTCTTTCTGTGACCTCTCCAGCGCAGCACTTCCTGTGGCAAATAAGAAAATATATTAGTATTGATGTAACATGTCATGACATTAGGTATATTTTATACTTTGTTGTGTGATGGTACCTGGTGTGGGCTGATACAGAGTTAGGTACAGTAAGTGTTGGTATCATAGAATTCTGGAATTCTTTGGGTTGGAAGGATCCTTAAAGCCCATCCAGTCCCAACCCCTGCCACGGGCAGGGACACATTCCACTAGAGCAGGTTGCTCCAAGCCCCTGTGTCCAACCTGGCCTTGAACACTGCCAGGGATGGGGCAGCCACAGCTTCTCTGGGCACCCTGTGCCAGCGCCTCAGCACCCTCACAGGGAAGAGCTTCTGCCTCAGAGCTCATCTCAGTCTCCCCTCTGGTAGGTTCAAGCCATTCCCCTTGTCCTGTCCCTACAGGCCCTTGTAAAAAGTATGTGGTGTGTTTTCAAAGTACTCCTGTGGTCCCTGAGGACGTGTGTCTGGAAGGACATGTTCATTTCCTCATAGTTCAGTGGAACATGTTGGTAGAGGACCTTAAATAATGACAGAAGAAAGAGCAAAGGCATCTGACCACAGAAATTCTGGTGTACATCCTTCATCTCCAGTGAAGACATGGGCTTCTGGAGCTGAGCTCTGTTTCACTGGGGCAGTCCGAAGGGTTGCTTCCATTTGCTATTCGAGACTGCCACAGTAGCAGGGGAGGCTGTGGACAGTTGGCCAACAGCCTGACATAGAATCATAAAATAATAGAAATATAAGCTTAAATATTTGCAAATGCCTGTCCAGGTCTGCATGGGAAGCCCAGCTTTGTCTAACTCTGCAGGGAAGAATATACTGTAGACTGCTTAAGGTATTTTCAAATGAATGTGTGATTAAAGAAGACCATGGCAGCATGGTTCAGATACCAGGGGATGAAATGGTCTTCCAAACCAGGACACAAACCTTTGATTATCTGTAGTTTTAGTCACATAAATACCTTTTATTTTTGATTATTTGTGGTTTTGATTATCTGTAGTTTTAGTCACATAAATACCTTTGAAAATCTCCTTATATTCACTGAAAGGAAAAAGGATTTAGGCTGCCAGTGGTCAAAGCAATGTTTTCAAATGGCAGCTTTTTAAAACAATATCCTTCCTCTTTCAGAGTCATCTGCTCTAAAGAGCTGAGCCTGGTTCGATCACTAACATCAGGAGAAATTTCATTTCACTCCCTTTCACAGACTTTATTGATACTCAAGTCTTGGGTTTGCAAGACAGGATCCTAAGTGACTTTTCCAGTCAAAGTTATCTAGCTTACATCAGATGAAATCAAAGACAGAAGTGAACCTATGGAATAAGGACAACGGTTATAGAGTTGCTGAAGTACTGGGATTTTGCCACCTTCTTGAAATGCATCTTAGTCGTCTTTGATGCTGAACTTCCCTCTGGGCTGTCTTTTCTCTTGTCCTATAGATAATTCAATATAGCCAACCCCTTACCTACACTGTCTTAAGTGTTCTCTTTTTGTAAGGGATTGAAAAGACATTTTTCATGGTGCCCCTGCTGATAATTAAAGGTCAAAGTATTTCATTCAAACTAGCAAGATTATAAGCAAGGTTTGGGATTATTGTTTGAAAGAACATGGCACTGTGGTGAACTATATTTCCACCTGGGTTTGTCAGACTGCTCCATGTTTCTTTTTTTCTCTTTCTCTCCATTTAAAAATGTACAGTATAGAAAAATTTAATTTCAAAACTAGAAACAGAATATAACAACAACAACAACATCTACAATATTTAGAGAACAATTTCCCCAACCTCTTCCCCTCATAGAAGAGAATCTTCAGCCCTCTTCAGTCTATAACCTTCGTAGTTTATATATTGCAATATAGCCTATGAATTTGATCTGAATATTTGAATTAGAAGACAAATTAAACCATCAATTCTGTGCTACAAATCTTAACAGCAATATTATAGCAGATTCTTTGCCACCACTTCCCAGCAAGCCTGTCTGAATTAGGAACTAATTCTGATTGTAACATTTCCCTGCGAGCATTAAAGAAACAGACACAGTACCTGGTTCAGGAAGGAAAGTAGCACTTAAGAGGAGCAACCAAGTCAGACTCACTCGAAGGTCCATTTTCATTGTGCTTGTCTGTTCTACCGCCAGGCAGGTTCAGAATTTATACTGAATGAGTATTGGTCTGCATCAAAGGTGTGTGCTGTGCAATTTGATCTTTCTTCCTGAACTTCCAAATCAATGCCAAAGAAGTGAATTACTACATATTTTCATTTCACAAGGTACATCCACACATCCGGATAAGTAGATCCAGATCACAGTGCTGTTCCGGATTTGTTACTGAGATCTTCCCAAACACTCCTCGGGCACATTTGTGGCTGTGTGTTGATGATGTGGTTGTTCCAGGAAGCTGTGGTTTATTTTGGAGATTAGGCTATTTGGTAATAACCAACCAGTTAAGTCGGTTTCTGACTTACAACCCTACTAAACCAGATTAAATTGGTGTGAGAATTGTGCCAAAAAAAGATTAGCAACCTAAAAAGGTCAGGAAAGCCTCAACCAAATTCTCTCTGCAGATTACTCTTGTAAGAAGCAGTTTCTATGACATTGCCAAAGGGAACTAGTCACCTTTGTTACAATACCATAAATGCTGGACAAGATGAAGACTCCACTGACGATTTATTCCCTGCTTTCCATCTGACAGTTTCACAGCAGGTATGTTTCTGACCAGAACAGACTGAGATCTTCCCCTTGTCTTCAAAGGACAAGCACACACGTTTACATCCCATACACACATAAACTACACATAGCCTTCGTGACATGCTCTGTGGTCTGTGAGATACTACACGAAAGAATCGAGGCACAACATATATATCTGGTGAAGGGGAGAAACTAGAAACAGTTATTCTAGAGGCAAGAGATGTGCAATTAAAGGATGAAAGGCAGAAGATACTGGAGTGCCAATATATATACAAACTAATACAAACACAAACTAAGACCTCACTTGGAGTATTGTGTACAGTTCTGGTGTCCTCAACATAGGAACGACATGGAGCTGTTGGAGCAAGTCCAGAGGAGGCCACGAGGATGATAAGGGGCTGGAGCAGCTCCTGTATGGAGACAGGCTGAGAAAGTTGGGGCTGTTTAGCCTGGAGAAGAGAAGACTGTGTGGAGACCTCAGAGCAGCTTCCAGTGTGTGAAGGGGGCCTATAAGGATGTTGGGGAGGGACTCTTCATTAGGGACTGTAGTGGTAGGACAAGGGGTAATGGGTTTAAACTTAAACAGGGGAACTTTAGGTTAGATCTAAGGAAGAAGTTCTTCACAGTGAGGGTGGTGAGGCACTGGAATGGGTTGCCCAAGGTAGCTGTGAATGCTCCATCCCTGGCGGTGTTCAAGGCCAAGTTGGACAGAGCCTTGGGTGACACGATTTAGTGCAAGGTGTCCCTGCCCATGGCAGGGGGCTGGAACTAAATGATCTTAAGGTCCTTTCCAACCCAAACTATTCTATGATTCTAATAAAGGACTAGGAGAAAGCATGCAAAAGTCATTCTGACGAGGAAATGTGCAACAGGTCATGCTGGAGATTACTCTTTGCCACGTTTTCATGGGATCTTTCCAGAATAGGTGGCTACCATGAAAAAAGGGAATCCCACCTGCACAGCTGTAAAAGATTGCCCTCCAGCAAAGCCAGGAATCCAGTAGGATCACTTCAGCCTGTGCATCCCTGGCGTGAGGTAGTGGAGTCAACACCACTGTGGCTTCTGGTACCCCAAAGGGTACCTCCAGCTGTACCTCACTCTGTACTGTCAGGGAGAAGATGGGTCTCAGTTAAAGAGAGAAAAAAAGCAAAGCTAATTTGTCTGAGCTGATTTAAAAATGCACTTCAATTCTTTCTTTCTGCCAATGCTTTTCTTATTTTCTTAGCACAGAACGGTGTGTGATATTTATCTAGATACTCGTGTTCTTACCTTCACAGGACTTTCTTGAGCAAAACCAGCCAAGTATCTGAACTCCCAGTTGTGTGTGTGTATTACTTGAATGCACTGTTGTTTCCTGAAGTGACTAAGTGTGTTTAAGGTAGATCCTTACCAATATATTTCTATGCATGTGGCTGTAAGCTGCGCCTGAACAGTACGGTATGTGCCAGTTTGCTTTCCTGACAGCAATTAAGCTATTTTATACAAACATTTTTCACTTTTGCATAAAAAAGGAATTTTAGAAACAGCCCAAAACTCCAACTGAAATCTCAGTAAGATTTTATTCTCAAAACAATGGCAACCAAATTCATTATATCTTATGGTGTGACTCAGGTCTAAGTGCTCTGGATTTAATGATTTGGATCTGAACTACATCATGTAGAAGGCACAAATGATTGGTATGCATGTGCCATTTCTGTGCACTTCAAATCCGTTTTATAAAGACAATATTCTTTGGCTGCTGCTGGACTTTCAATAACACTCTCTTTAGGAAGTACAGAGTCCTGTGGAAATAACCAATGTCTGTCGATTCAGCCTAACAGTGTGCTCAGCAGTAAAGCTGTTTGTCCAAGAAATGCCATGCATCAGGAGCATGGCGTCAATAGAAAGCGGGGGCATAATTCACATTATTTGCAGGCATCTAATCTATTTATAAACTAAGATCTTAGTGGCATTTCAATGCATGTCTATTTGGACCCTTGATATAGGGGTAGGAAAATAGTTGGAACATGGCTGAATGCAAAAATCTTGAATATGAAGAAGCATAAAGATTTACTTTTTCAGCATTCCTCAATCTCTTATATAAAACAGGTCCTAAAAAGGACATCAGTCCCAGTAAACACATGCAGGATTGAAGACTCCACTCCCTGCAGGCTGGGATCTCTCCTTAGTCTCTTTTACACCATATGTAAGAAGTAACGGTGGCAGATGCAAATGCTAGTGGGGCAGAAGGTTTCTACAGCTAATCTGTAGTGATAGATGACAAAGAATGAGCAGCCTCCACATTAAGCATTACAGCTCCCATCACAGACATTGAAG